ACCCCCCGCGCCCCCGCCCCGATGGAGTCCACAGTTCTCACCTCTGGGAGGTAAGTTAATGCCGCCTTGAGAGACAGGACTCTGTGACATCTGGGTCAAGGTCAGAGGCATCTGAGTGGTGGGGGTTTGCTGGGGGACATGAGGCCCCCCTGAGTGACAGGCGGCACCAGGCGCACAGAGGGTGCCAGGGTTAGTGGGAGCAGCTGAGGACAGTGCTCCGGGGGCAACGGTTGAGCTCAAGCAACCTGTGGAAGGACAGAGAAGGTCAGCGGCGTGTCAGCGGCGGACAGCAGGGCTGGGGAGGCTGGGGGAGGACGAGGCGGGAGGGCGGGCTCACTTGCTGGCCTCAGCAGCAGCAGCAGCAGCAGCCGCAGCAGAACGGCCTGGTCCACGGAGGGGGCAGGTGTCCGGCACCAGGGCTCCATCCTGGGGTAGCAGCGACTGTGCCTCAGAGCTCCTCTCGCGACAGCGCCCCCCACTGGCTGCGGGCAATGGCTTCTGGTGTGCAGATGCCCCAGGTCCCGGCCTGCGTGGCGCCCCCCAGCGGCCACCCGGGATAGTGCTCCTGGTGTCGGGCCCGCGAGGGCGCCCCTAGCGACCGGCCTCATATCTGCCAGCCCGGGGTCCGGCCTGAGGGCGCCCGCCGACTGCCCTGTTTCTGGCCATGTTTCTGCCCCCCTGGTTTCTTCACTCCGTTTGGCCAAAAGGTTTCCTGGAGCCCTTAACTCACCTCGCCAGTTCCTTCGCCTCCTTGCTCCTGCAGCCCACTGCCCTGGGCTGGTTCCTGCCTCCATACCGCCCTTGATGAGATGCCCTGTCCCCCGGGGGCGGCGGCATCCAGGATTTTCAAGTGCCCGCCTCCTTCCTGTTCCCTCCAGCCCGTGGGGAGGTAACTACAGTGGGGCTTTGCCCCAGGGCACTGAAATTAAACAGATTGAAAAGTTTTCAATAAAGATTTTTGAAGATTGCGTAATTTTAAGCAGTGTTCCCCACCTCCTCAATCCAACCTCCATTCAGCAAATACCCTCCCCTTACAGGTCTGTCTGCTTAGGAAAGATGGGGATGTGGCACAGGTGAGGTTTTTACTCACAGAGGAAGAGTGATGGTAACCATCAGGCCTTTCTGGGAGCAGAAGGCCACATTTTATGTTGGAACATGGGGAAGAGTTGATGGCTTGGTGACATAGACGGATAATGCATTTAAAAAGTAGTGTGGGGAAAGCCTATGAGAAGCTTTGGTTCAAAGCTGTTGGAAAATTGTACCTAAAAAAAGATAAAGTCAAAGTTAAATCAAACCAGGAGGTTCTAACCTTTGCCAGGGCCTGCTGCCTTAGAGAGACGCTCAGGCTGGCTGTTCAGGGCTCCAGTGTCTGAGAAGACAGAACATCACACCCACTACGTGTCTGGGACCTGTAGGGTAGGGGTAGCCGGCTGCTGTGAGCCTGAGGCCCACCAGGTCTGAGGGCCCCCCCGCCCCGCACACACACACACATACACATGGGGCAGGACTCTGCCCCCTCAGTCTGGCTAGTTTGGGCCGGCCTGTCCTTGCTCTCCGGAGTCCCATGGAGGTCCCCGAGGCAGCCCAGGAGCTCAGGGCGCAGTTCACACAGTTCATCCAAGCAGGCACCGTGCCTTGCCCTCCCCCCACTCTCTGTCATCACCCAGCTCTGCCAGGAAGGAAGAGGAACTGGTCAGTTTCTATGGACTCTTAGGGAGACATGAGGGCAGGGGAGAGGCCCCCAGGTTCTGGAATGAGGTTCACAAGTGCAGGTCTGGTCATGGTGGCTGTCTTGGAAAGAGGCCAACCCCCGCAGGAAGGCCTGAGGGAAACCGGGCGGGAGACCCGGGGGTGGGCTATGGGGCCCTGGGGATTGCCCGAGTGCCGGGGTGACGAAGCAGGGACTGGGGTCACAGGGCCCAGCTCCGTGTTTGGCAGAGGAGGAAAGTGCATTTCAGACAGGGTGGTGCACAGTACAAGTGACACCATCAGGGGAGGACAGCCAGGCCCTCGGGGGGTGGCGGATGCTCTGAAGGGTTCCCACCAAAGCCAACAAGAAAGATGATTTCAGTGGCACAAGGTTCAAGAGCATCTTTATTGAACAACTGAAAACACGGCAGCTCTGGGCTCCGCCCCAGGGGCCCTCCGCCCCCATGTCCTGCCCGTGGCCAGTCTCTGCTTCTCCTTAGGGCAGAGAGTGACTGCCCTGGAAACACCCCTCACGGGAGCCACAGGGAGCCCGAGGAGACCAGCAGCGTGTAGCCAGTGAGGAAGACCGGGCTCCGGAAGGCGGGGTGAGCCCGACTGACGAATCTCATGTCGGCGACCCGCTTCTTGATCCAGTGGGTGAAGTGGGCAGTGCTGGTGTAGATGCCAGGGAAGCTGTGCTGGTTGCAGCTAAAGATCCAACTGACCACCCCCATCTGCACCCAGGTGTTGTTCACCTGGCAGACCATGGAGCTGCCAGAGTTACCCTGTGCAGGGGAGGGAGGGAGGCGTAAGGGAGGCAGCAGGAGGCCTCACTGCAGGCCCCGGACCAATTCGCTCCCTCCCGGGCCATATCCTTAGTATGAGCTGCATCCGGCCTCTGCTGTCCCTGATGAGGAGGCCTGGCTACGAACCTGTCCTGGGACATGGAAGCTCTGCACTGGAGCCCAAGCTCGGGGCCACACCGGCCTCTCTCTTCATCTCCTGCTAACTCTCCGACTGTAACTCCCCAGTCCCCTTCCTCTACCCTCCCCTTAAATCCTGGTGGGCCTCCAAGGTGTTGCCCTTGACCTTCCGCCTTTCCTTCCATCCGGCTGCAGAGTGAGCTATTTGAAATGCAAACCTACCCCCTATTCTGTTTGCGCAAAGCAGGTGCATGTATAAGAATACTGTTTGCAACGGCACAGATCAAAAGGCAACAGCTGTTATTTCTGCTGATGGTGGGTTTGTGATTTCTTTAAAAAACTTTCTTTCCACTCTTCCGTATTGTTGAAAAGTTTTATAAATTAAAAACACGGAAAAACAATTCTCTCTATATAGATATGGATATGGATATGGACATGGACATATAGACGTAGATATAGATAGAAATTTTTTCAAAAGGAATGCAAACTAAGATTTATAGGACATAATCTAATGAAGAGTGCATAAAGACACTTCAAGAAAAAATAATAAAACTAAAAACATAAAAGCAGACCTAGATGAATATACAAATATACCACTGTTTTTAGGTGAGACAACTTAAAACAATGTAAAAATATCAGTTCTCAGCATTTAGCTTCCTATAGTTTGGAAGACTTGCTACTCCGCCCTACTTTGTTGAAGATAACTAAATATGTAAGATTTTTTAGATGCATGGGTGAGCTGGCAAGAAAATAAAGGCTCTGCTGAGTCTAAAAATCCAAGAAAGGGCTGAAACCCAAAACACTGTCAGCAAAATCTGAGAGATGGCTTTTGTCCCAAGGCCATTCGCCAAACCCAGTGATCGTGAGCTTCGGTGTTCACAGCCTTGTTTATGGATGCAGGATACAAAAGGCAAAACCCAACGTTGCCCGAGGAGGGGGTTCTAAGAGGAAACCTCCTGCAGAAAGCTACACAACCCAAAAAAGGACCACACCTTTCGAGTGAGGACCAACAGGCAACACCCACCCACCTGTGAACTTGCAATGTGAACTCATACAGTCTGAATGGTTCAAAAAAAACCCAAGCCAAACACTTTGTTTAAAGTGGTCCTGGGTTGGTCATCCACCCAGGTATCTGGCAGATACAAACATAGATTCTGTCTAAAGGACATGCTTTCTTCAAGCCATGCTTTAAAGACTCCCACAGAGAAAACCCCAAAGAACAGGTCCTCGCTCTGAAAACGTGATTCCGTACCCAGCGACAGTGAGGAACCATGAACCAATGCCAACTAGCAAAAAAAATCTAGAGCAGAATCAGAGCCCTCACAGCATGAGATTCAGGGGATTATCACCTAGAAGCTTCACAGCTCCTGGCTATGCACCACTTCATCAGCCTGGTGGTGGAGGCAGGAGTGTTGGTTCTATTATCCTTTCTTCTCCAGACATATTTTATAAATATTTTTGTCTCTATTCGATGTCAGTTCTTCTTACATCCATCTCTAAAGTTCAAGCTATTCCCAACAAAATGCCAGCAGGACTTTTTCAGGACCTTGATAATCTGATTCTAAAATCAATACTGAAAGGTAACAGTCCATGAATTCTGTGACAGATTTAGAAAGAAGGGCAAATTGGAGAGTCAGGCAGGGGGCAGACTTGACCTACCAGAGAGTTCGATCTATTTCCCAACTGTAGTTATAGAAACTGTGGTAGTTGCATAGAAAGAGAAAAATAGACCAGAGGTGCAGGGGAGAGCCAATGTGTGTGATGCCTGCATGTGAGGAGACTTCACACAGGCTCCAGAGAGTGTCACATCTGCGGGACAGGAAGTCTCTGTTGTAGACAGTATGGAAAACGATGGAGAAAAATGAAGTTGGATCCTATCGCGACACAGCTCCAGAGATAGAAAAAAATCCGAAATTGTAAAAAGTTGAAAAGATAAAGCTAAGTAAAAACATGTAGGGCCATGAGTTTATGACTTGGGATGAAGCATATGTTTTAAAATAAGACTCAAAACCCAAACCTGAAGAGTGGACATGTGTTCGGCTTAATTACATCAAGACCATCTGTTGGGTGAAGGAAATCAACGTTCACTGAAGATAAACAAAGAATTAAGAGAGAGCATTTGCTCTGTCTAAAACCAGCTAGAGGTCAATATTTAGCATCTCTAAGGAAACCCTGAAAATTAAGCAGAGAGAAAGTGTGAAAGGAGATTCGTGGGTTTCTATGTCTGGATCACCCAGTCTCCAGCTCCTCGATAGTTTGGGGAGGCAGGAACCCCATCCCCCAAGGGTGCCAAAGGCAGGAGATGGGTGAGGATAATTACAGGCTTTACCCAAAATGATGTTTGGGGTAGGGAAGAAGATTTGACATACGGCACACGTGGGTGGGGGCAATGACTTGAAAGAATAAAGCCACTTCATGTGGATTCGCTCCTCAGCAAACAAAAAGCGGTCAGGGGCAGGGAGAGATGTGTAGCACAGTACCATTTATGCAAACTAAAATACACATATAGCAACGCTATGTATTTTTCAAAGATATAGACATCTTTAAAGTCATTATTAAACAGATCGGAGTAGGAGCCTTTTGCAGGGAGAAGAAATGGAAGATGAGGAGGGAAAATCAAGCCAAGATAATCAAGCTAGTGATGGTAGCGTGAGGGGCCTTACCTGAGAGATATGGTTAACTGAACACAGGGATCTCAGAGAAAAGGAGAACTCAGAGAGAAAATAGAGAAGAAAGAGACAGACAGAGAGAGAGAGAGAGAGAGAGAGAGAGAGAGAGAAAATCTCGTAGGTGGACATTCAACTCTATGAAATAAAACCAGAACCCAATAACAAGATGTGAGCCACTGCATCAAAGGAAAACAAATAATAACTTTCAAAAATATGAAAGTAAAAACAGAATTAAAATCTATAGTTAGAGCGTAGAAAGATAACATTGCATCTCGCAAAGCCCATGGGTTGTGGGCCTGAATGACACACAGAAGAGTCCCGGTCTAAATACTTTTAATATCAAACAAAAGAGACTGAAAATAAATTATTCGTTATTATCATCAATTCTTTATCACTGCACATTCAGCTCAAGAGACTTGAAAAGGAATTAATAAAGACAAAAGGAAGATAATTCGTGCATTAGAAAGCAGGAAAATCATAGGCTTGAGGAATGAAATCAATAGCTTGTTTTTTAAAAAACAACAAAATAGATAAGCACCTTGTAAGTCTTACCGAGAAAAACAGAAAGAGAAGGAAAATGCAAATACTTTGTGATCTGAAGAGAAAAGAGATTAGAACCACCTCCAGGGAGAATATACTTTCTCAGAATCTGAAGAATGTGTATAACTTCCTCTATATGGATTTAAATTCTGGATGAAATGAATAATTTCTAAGAAAATGTAAATAAATCCTGTAAGTCCAATAACCACAGGCTACTTAAAATATTGCCCAAAAACTAGCCCTCAAAGGAAAACGAGCCCATGTGGTTTCATAGACAACTTTTATCCAGCATTCAAGAAGTAGATACTCTATGTTAGTTCAAATGTCCCGGAATATGGTACATTTGTGAAACAAGTCTTGATTCTGTAACTTGGCAGAGGAGGTGCCTTCCTCGACACACCTTAAAAAGGAGCCCAGCCTCACCGGAGGAAGAAAACAAGACAAAAGCCAAAGGCCATGTGGGCTGTGCCGCACTGGACTGCTCATTCCTAGACCAGTACCGTTTCTGGACCGTGCGCCAACGTCACCCTGTGCCAGGCCCAGAGCCCAGCACAGGGTGTCTGTTGGATAAATAAATAAATTAAATAGGTTCTGAAAAAAAAAAGATATTATTAACCCTAATCCAAGAGATGCATGACACAAAAGTATGTCGTGACCCAGGAGGAACGACCCTGGCATTCAGGGTATAGATGGCCGTGAGCAAGCTGTCCTCAGAACTGACCCAGCATGCTGAGTTCGAGCAGAGAGTCATCTCAGTAGCTGCAGAAAACTCATTTTAGGAAGCAGGCCCGCCCTCCCTCCCGAGATGAAACGCCACGGTAAAACAGAAGGGCGTGGCTCTCTCCCGGACGGATGGGATGGCGAAACAGCCACAGGCTTCCTGATGCCGCGTGAGCAGCACGTCCGTGAAGGTCGGCAGCAAGCAAAAGCAGAGCTACAATTCCAGGTGGTTTGGGGGAGACGTATCCAAAGTAACCAAAGAAAGTGAAAATCATGGGGAACAAAAAGAGGCGAGATCATTACTAATGGCAGCTCACAGGCGTGTAGGCCTGGAAAGCCCAAGAGAATCAGCTCAGAGCTCTTGGTTCTAGTGAAGGAGTTCAGTGAGCTGAACACCCAGACGCTCTCTGCGAGAGGGTGAGTCTGGCAGACGGATGGGAAGAAAGTGAGAACGAGGGAAGGTCCTCACCCTGCTTAGGAGGAAGCTGTGGACGTTGGGTCTAGGTGTGGATTCAAGTGTAAACATGTGTGAGGAAAATGTGAGGTGACCCGTAGCAGAATGAAATGGAAGATGACAGCTTCTAAACCACTGCAGGGGAAGAGTGGAGTAGGGGAAAAACATAAATCAAACCAAATCGTAAGGTGAGGGGAACAAAAAGAACATTCTCTTGGTAAATGGATCAAAGGACAGTCTCCCTGATGCGTTGGGTCAAAAAAAAAATAGCGTCTAACTTTACGCCGTTTACAAAAGACACACCTAAAACGAAGGTGCACGATGTCTCCTGGAAGACAGAGAAATTGTTCTGGAATGTAGTTCTTGATATTGCAAAAAAAAAAAAAAAACCCAAAAAACCAAAAAAACAAAAATCACACACACAGAGAAAGAAAAAGAAAAAAAAGAAAGAAAGAAAAAAAGAAAAAGCATGCACACTGAAGAGAGAGACACATTTGTCATTGTTTACAGATGATATGTCTGGGCCTACGAAATCAAAGATCAACTAGATCCAGGAAGGTTGATTATTACAAAGTAAATACAATTTAAAAAAATCTATATATAACAAACAGAAAATACAAGGAAAGAAAATATATCATTCATAACAGAGGTATAATATAAAACGCCCAGGGATAAACTTAAGCAGCCAGAGCAAAATAAAAAAGCATTTCCCCTACATTCATGTATTAATTTCCACCAAAATTGCCCCATAATTTCCTTATGGACTTGATACGAAGATTGTTCAATTAGAATGAACATGAGGACAGTGAGGTAAATTCTTTAAAAGAAGAATCATGAAGGAAGATTTGCCTTACCACGTATAAAAAGAATTATAAAGCTACAATATTTTAAAAAGAGTGGTGGTGGCATAGGAACGAGAAAGCAAAGGGCAGAAATAGACCATAATGAGATGGGAATGTAGACTATTAAAAAAAAAAAAGAGGCCATTTCTAATTCATTGCCAAAAAAAT